TTGCATAATTGCTTCGACTCACCCCTTTAAGCAGGCGTAATATATCCATCCATCCACCATTCATTGTATATACTGTCGTGTGTTGACCCATCTTGTATGCAGCCACTGATATGGAAAGCTGTCGCTCGAGGAATTAATTATTCTCCGTTTCTTCCTCGATCTCCGTCTGAATGATATGAGCGGGGGGAGAACAATGGCGTTTTTTCTTGCAGAAGATCACTGAAGTGCTATCCAAGTCACACTTTCTGATGTTGCGCCCGTTAATCTATAATGAACGCCCTCTTCTCTTTTTTACTCATCTGCAGCGCCATTTGCTCACACATTCCCGGTAACAAATATACACAATGCCTTACAAATTATACTGTTGTGCTGTCGCCTCAAAATTTCGTGCCAAATCAGTTCAAGTTGATCTCAACGAACATGACGGATTGTGTCGAGGAGGTCGTAAAGATGAAGGATAAATTTTTTCATTTTTCCTAGAAAAAGAGGAAACTAATTCCATACGAGTGCTGATAAGCCCGTGAGCTATTCATCAGGTGTTTTTTTTTTTACCTTTGCGGACAAAGATGAAGGATAAATATCTAGATTAGACATTAGACATTAACAAGTCGAGGATATAATTACTGTACACAAAGTCAATGCATGGGCCGCGGTAAGGGAAAAAGGAGAGACACCCCCCCCCCCCCCCTCCTTAGTCTCAGTACAAACCACACTTTATACATACGATCATTATCACCATCCGGGTCACCATCACCGTTCTTACTAGTATTTCATATTTTATTTACAAGAGCTATAGAATGCCTTATTAAGTGTCGCTGATTCAAATGGAATGAGGGATGATTCTCCCTGGATAGTAGTAGCTGATCCGGCTTTCACTCCAAATAAACAAACGTTTTTTATATATATTTTGTATTAAAAAAACACATTTCTTGTATCGACTCTATTATAATAATACTAATACTATCTGATGTAAGATTTAGAGATGTGATCTTCTATCGACATCTGAGATCTTCATTTCGACCTAGTTTATCAATGTTACATCATATAAACATTTTTAGTAGATTAAATTTTGATATGAATTACCAAATAATTACTCGGTGTAGTGGACAGAACCAATTACAAGAAAGACCTTGTGATATAAACGAAATGACAATAATCATTTCGTTATTTCACATAGAAGACCTGCAAATCATCTTCGTCATTCCCTCTTTTCCTCTTATCAGTGTGCCCTCGGCCATCTGTCTTCCATTCTCTCTGCATCTCTCGCTGCATATTTTCTTTTCTCTCTCTCTCCGTCCCTCTCATCTATATTTTTTCTTCCTTACCTCACTCCAAAACAAACCGTCCTTTTACCATATTAGCATCTTTTTCTTCAACCATTCCTTTCTCTTTTCCTCTCCCGCACTCTCTTCCCAACACACACGCGGACATTCACTCTCTTCCTTTCTCCTTTACTCAATCATATCTCTCTCTCTCTCTCTCTCTCTCTCTCTCACACACACACACACACACACACACACACAAAAACACTCACATAGCACATTTGTAAGCAGTTCACTGTGACGCACCAAACTTTCATTACGGCATTATGAATGAATATAAATTCCGTTTTGATATTAATGGGAAATTTGCAATTTTACAGAAATGTTCATTACGTAATAATGACTTGGCTGCGTGTAACACCTGGACATCCACCCGGATAACCACCCCAGTCAACTACCCCCTAGGACAACTACCCCCTAGGGCAACTACCCCTAGGGCAACTTCCCTCTAGAACGATTACCCCAAGGACAACTACCCCCAGACAACTACCCCCCAGACAACTACCCCTAGGACAACTATCCCCTAGGACAACTACCCCCGGTAGTTGCCCTAGGGGGTAGTTGTCCTAGGAGGTAGGTAACTGGGGGTGGTTATCCGGGGGTGGATGTCCAGGGGGCAGGTGTCCTAGAACTGTATTTTTCATTTATGTGTGTGTGCGTGCGAGTGTGTTCGTGTGTGTGTGTTTGTGTGTGACTTTGCTTTAAAAAATGCGTATGAAATGCATCTCATTTGATACATTCAATTCATTCTTTTACTTTTACTTATTGGAAAATCTTCATAATACTCATTACTTTTTTCCTTCTGTCTGATATTCTCAATTCAGCCCCTATTGCACATGTAGGATATTGGAAACCTTTAAAGAAAGTTATCAATGTCTCTCACTAAATAATTCATGTCACCAAAAACAAAACCGTGTTTGTTACATTACATTGAATGATTGCAAAAGTGTAGTTTTTTTTTTTTTAAATCTCTCGCTCCTGATGCTTACATTATTAATTCTGCCATGTTGGTTATCAACGTCATCATTATGATGTAGGCTTGATGAACTAAGGCAAATTATTATTAGTGTAGAATATTTTGTGGTTAAGGGCGGTTTTACATGAAAGTCTGACGAATTTTTATTTGACTACAGAAGAAACTGATGAACAAAATACTTCAACAATATCATCAAAAGGTGCACCCAATTCATAACCTTTCACAAAAATTTATTCAAAATATATTATTTTTTTATATTGACATGCTAGTGTATGTACGATAATTACGCCAGTACTACAAAAGATTTGTCTCCTCATGAAATATTTAACATGTTCTTAATTGAATAATCAATACAATAATTACCCTCTATATTTCCCATTACATGTTTACTACTTTAAAATGTATCATAACGTCACCCTTTCAAAACAAAAACAAAATATGGTGAATTTAGACTGAATTTAATTTTCTATCCTTATACATCTTCATTATTTGCAAACATGAGACCAAAGAGACTACAAACAATAAAAAAAACTTTAAAATATACAATTTAAATTAATAAAGGGTGATATGCCGATATACAGTTAGATTTGTTTTGTTTCTTTTGTGTGTAAATGTGTTTATTTTAGGAGATTTCTCTACAATGAAATCCGTCAATTTTGTCCAACTATATCTCAGACATTTTTTTCTCTTGAATTTGTTAAATGGAAGGTAGAGCGAAATGAACACAACTAACCCCGAGTGTATTAATGAATCTATGAATTAGTTTTATTTATTTCATCTATATATTTGTAGTTTTATTTTACATCGGAGCATCGTCAGCTATACAACTGCTTTCCCCGTTGGCGTCGTTCAGTTGTTGTTGTTATTTGTTGTAATGGCAATCAGTCACGAACTGACTTTTATCACCAACGCCTTTTGTTTAATATATTAATTTCCTTCTTTCTTCTTTTTTCTCTCTTTTTTAAAATACATAATGTGGATAACAGTAAAACAATTATAGGCTTCTCTCTCTCTTTTTGTTCTCCCTTTTCCAATCCTATCTTTTTGATTTTAATAACCAAAACAAGGAATTAAAATGAAAAGGAAAAAAACAACAACAAAAAACCAAAATGTAAATTTTTGTATCCTGTAGGTTACCGAGTAGTCCTGCCGTTCTAAAACACCGTCCATACACCGTCCTGTCTCTCGGGTGTAGACAGGTGGCTCCCTTTGTGGGTAAATTTATAATCTTGAAACCTCGAAATAGGAAAGGAATTGATCGATAGTTTTAAAATCAAAGAAGGTTCTTTCTGGAAAAATTGGTTTCGCGCGACCTCGCAAACTTCAATGGACCTTTTATGTAAAATTTTGTTGTGATATAGTGATATTGATTATACAGATTGCATTGGGAATTTTAATTTTGAATGATGGTGCAAAAACAAAAACAAAACAAAAATTGGATGCTCATTTGGGGTTGAAACGTTTCGTTCTTTGAAGGTAACTACATAAAGCATTTTGAATGTTAGCATCTGATACGTTTAAGAGTCTTTATACCTTTCTTCAGTTTTATACAGTTTCAACGAGTATATAGCATGGATCTTTTAATTGTATATTTCGGGCATTTTGCGATAAAGTGTTCAGTGGTTTCTCGAGACGTGTTACAGTGTCCCGTTCGGTGTATTCTCATTGTCCTGTTGGCTTAGATATTAATCTGATTTAAGATTAAAATTATAGAAAAAATAATTGCCAAGTTCTATATACATATAAAAATTGATGATTGAATGCAGACTGGAAATAGTATAGTATTAATGACTGCTAGCCCAATTGTAACCTTCCCGAGAGCGTATAAAAACAACTATTTCTCGAATATTAAAGCAGTCATTAATACTTTTATATGCCGGAAAAAAAAGGGAAAAAAAAAATTGTCGAAGATGGGATTCGAACTCTTGCGTACAAAAGGTGATGTCATTAAAGTCAGCGCATTAATCCGCTCGGCCAGCGCGCTCTGTCACCATGCATAGTAGTTTTCTAAAATATATACATTAAAATGAATTGAAAACGGCTTCGCGTGGTCGATGCTTGGCCGCTGCTCCATTAAACGGGCCCTTCTTTTACTTTTGCAATGCATATTGGCACGAACTTAGATCAAGATCTATCGGCAAATGTTGTTTTTTTGTTTTTGGAAGTTTATTTTCGTCTTCATGTCAACAATGCAAGATAAAATTGTCGGTAAGATCGATCGAGATTCAATTGTATTGAAATTACCGACCAATTCTTCGCACACGTACGGTATCCTCGATCGCTCAGACCATTTTTTAACATGTAAACCTATGGGGTAACCATGGAGACTGACCTATTTTCCCAATAACCATGGTTATTGGGATTTTGAACTGTTTTTTAACCATGGTTACCGGGAATTTTCGGGAACAGTTAAAGTTTATGAATGCAATTTCGACCAATCAGATTGCTGGATTACTTAAGTGAGGTATATAATTATCAATAATGAAGGCAAATCCAAAGACTTTCATTAAAAATTACACGAACCCCCCAAAATAATTAATAAAACAAACCCAAAACCTAAAACATACAAATAAAGAATAATAAATAAAGAACAACACTAACAGAAAAACAACGACTTAAATCTAAACGTTGCCATATTATTTAAAACTAACATTATTAAAGGGAAACATAGTGATGTGGAGGAAAAACATGATTTGAAAAGTAGCCACACATTTCAGGAGTCGATCATATCTTTATCTTCATCGTTTTCGTTAATATTTACTTGTATAATGCGAGAGCCATATACTTTGAATCAAATGACTTTATCAGTGTTAAGAAATCTGATAGAAGTAGGGAAGACATCCATATGAACTATTTGACCTTCATCCCACGGACTTCACCAGAGTCTCGAGCCTGTTTGAATAAAGCAGAGGAACGAAGGTTTGTATATATTTACATTGTATACATACTTTTTTAAATATTGAAAGTGTAACGGAAACATAAATACTACTAATGCTACTACTACTACGACTACTACCACTAATACCACTATTATTACTACTACTACTACTACTACTACTACTACTACTACTACTACTACTACTACTACTACCACTATTACCACTATTATTACTACTACTACTACTACTACTACTACTACTACTACTACTACTACGACTACTACTACTACGACGACTACTACTACTACTACTACTACTACTACTACTACTACTGATACTACTACTACTACTACTACTACTACTACTACTACTATTACTACTAATACTACTACTACTACTACTACTACTACTACTACTACTACTACTACTACTACTACTACTGATACTACTATTACTACTAATACTACTACTAATACTACTACTAATACTACTACTACTACTACTACTACTGCTACTACTACTACTACTGATACTACTATTACTACTAATACTACTACTAATACTACTACTACTACTACTACTGATACTACTATTACTACTACTACTACTACTACTACTACTACTGCTGCTGCTGCTACTACTTCTACTACTACTTCTACTACTATACTACTACTACTAAACTACTGATACTACTACTATACATTGATATATTAAGATATTTAGGTAGGGTTCGAAGGAGTAGTAAATTCCAAACAACATTTATATTCAGCATAAGACATTTTTAAAGATTAAAGATATTATGACCCTTTTGCAGCCATTGTTAAATTCCGTAGAACTTTGCAGGAATTATGAATATGTCATGTGTGTTCCATATGTGAAAAATGAATAACAGCAGTGTCCTAGTATTCAAATTATGCAAGGAAACCCGTTTAATTGCTAGCCTTCACTGTCGGACACTATTGAAGGGCTGACTGATCTTTTTTTCTTTGGTAATAATATACATAAAATGAGATGTAACAGGTACATAAGCATTTGTCTGCATCAATAACCCACTACTTGTAATGGCCAAAATTAACTGATTGAATCCTTGTGCAGCACAAAACGTACGACCTTTCGGTAAAAGGGTCTGAAAATCAGACTATTGCTTAGGTGATTGCAATCATTTAAGTCGATTCGACAACTAATGTTTGTTATTTTCCCATCAAAAGCCCTTTTCAAGCCCTTTCGGCTTGAGGGAAGTTCTAAATCAGTATTGTCTTTCAAATGCCGTTGCAATTTAACCTTTTCATTTGTTTGGCCTGCAAATGGGACATAGTACCTGTAATAGGAGTTTGAAAAATAAAAAAATATTTGTGTTTGGGTAAGATTTCGAAATAAGCAAAACACCTTGGCACACCAAGAGTTACAGAATACAAACCTCATCTAGATCCTTTTTGGTTTTTTCTTCAAGCTCTCTGATATCCATCATAGTCATCCCATACCACTCGTCCAGACTACAGATGAGGGTCCGGTAGAAGTTGATATAAGTTCGAGTACTAGCCTGAAAATGTGAGATAATATGCACTACGATTTATCAAGATTAGCAGAGAAAATCCGTATTCTGTTAACTTTCATGCGACATTGGTGCTATTCGAAGAAAGGAACATCAGAGGCGATGCTTCGAGGGGCATTGGGCCAAAGCGCCCCCTCTTTTTTAAGTACCTCCAAAGTGCCCCTCATCCATTCTGATTAGTAAACCTATTGAATTATCGTAAATGCTCCCTTTACTTTGACAAATGCTCCATTTTCCTTCTAATGAGTGCCATTTTCTTTTCTAATAAGTGCCCCATTTTCTTTCTAATGAGAAGCCGTTTTATAATGTGAAATCCATAATCTCTACGGTAGCCTATCGTGCCTCTATCCATCCAAGGGGATGCTCATGGCTCCTTCAAATTACCATCGTTACATGCGTTAGCCTGGATTTATATCTTTGATTTAACCAGGCTGCCCTAAGGCGCTGTAAGGAATTACTTTCCACCAGGTACCCACTCACTCGAAGCACAATCAATTTGATACAAAGTCTCGACACCTCTAACCAAAGGACACTTCGCCCCCCCCCCCCCCCTCCGTTTATCAATTTTTAGACACGCCGATGGGTTCCATGAGAATAAGCATTGGATGACAATTATTGCCGCTTTAATCTTTGCACGTGTCATTAATTGAATTTGGCTATCTTACCTTGCTGATAACCTTCTGAGCCCGTTGTTGCTGCCCAAAAAATTTGATTTTTATTTCCTCGAACATGTACACCGTCATAAACCTTGTTTCGGTGTCCTGAAGAAGAAGAACAATGAAAGAATATACGATATTGAGTACGTCATGTAAAGGAATACTTATGAGAGATAGAAAGAGAAAGAGAGAGAACGAAAGAGAATGTAAAAGAAAGAGAGACAGAGGGAGAGAGATAAAGGAGTGAAAGAGAGAGAAAGAGAGAGAAAGAGAGAGAGAGAGAGAAAGTGAAAGTACTAAGAGATAGTAAGCAAATAAATACCGTTGGTGAAGGTGATGGGACAAACATGAGAGAAACACGAGGGAAAACACGAAGATGGAGCTATGGAAAATGAATTACAAAAAAAAAGAAAAGGAGGAAGAAGGAATGATGATAATAATGATGATAAAATATAGTGAAGATTTTGGTTAATACGCAAGGTAAAAGAGAAAGATAATGAAAAGAAGTAGAGGAAAATATTGAAAAAAAGTAGAGAAGATATAGAAAAAAAGGACTAGAGTGGAATAAACAGAAGAAGAAATAGGAGAAAAGAGGAGAAGAAGAAAAAGAAGAAGAAGATTAAGAGAGAGAGAGAGAGAGAGAGAGAGAGAAAGTGCGAGAGAGAGAGAGAGAGAAATCGAGAGACTTTTACCTTCCAGTTAGCTGTCAGAGGTCCACGACTGATTTTTTCCAGTCGGACCTTAGTCGGATCCGTACCTTCTGAGTAATCCTGTACAAAATAAGGAGCAACAATGTCATAATTTTTCGCTGGATTTTTAACAAACAAACACGATCGAAAAATATTGTTCCCTTAATATCCAAAATTTAAAATCGTTCAATATTCGAATATTATATAATTCTATGACACGATGTGATGTTATCAATTGTTTCAATGAGACAAAGTTATCGAAAGAAAATGTTAAAAAAGTCACTCTTAATAGTAAAACAGTTACTTTTCAATATACCCCTCTACTCATAGAACGAGAAGTAAAGAAGAAAAATGGTTACAAATCATTAACTGACAAATATATTGATTCAACCATGTATTGGCAGTGTTCGACAGTATTAGGATAACACTTCGGAGAAATACATTTGTTATATTGCATATATATTCATATAGATAGATAGATAGATACATGTATATCGGAACTAAATACATTGAAATATGTTCATGGTGATATATTTTTTTGTTCGTTTACCCTTATAGACACGGGATCATTTACGATGTCGAGTTCAATTGTCACTCTCTTTGCCTTTTTCTCGTCATCGAGGTCGAACACCTTCAAAAATAACAAAAGTGAACTTCAGTTTCCATTGCAATATCCTACAAAAAGCATCTCTCTTAAAAGGTAAAATTGAGAGCCGACGATGTTTTTTATTACGTCAATGATATGACGGCTGCAGTTGAAAAAGCGGACACGTCTAGGAAACGGTATAGAAGTTGGAGGATTTAATCATGTTTATACAATATACGATGAGCTCTCAATTTATTTGACTACCTGGTCATTAGCCGGTAATTAACGTCGATAACGTATCGTACATTAAAATCCCACAACCCAACAAGATCAATATGAGTATCAACATTACGTTTGTTGATGAAAAAAACCCTGTATAGCAAAGATGCGTTCCTAAGAATCTCACTGTTCGTACGAATTCCAGAGTTCGTAGAGATTCGTAGATGGGGCATATTTTCTTACGTCTTTCTTACGTCCTTCTTAAGGAGTTCGTACGAACGCCTTTTAATTTTTCGTAAGAATGCCTGGAGTTCTTCTTACTTCAGACTTACGGCCATCTTACGAGTTGTTCTTCTTGCAAGATGGTCGTACCGGCAGCGCTCAAAATACACGGGGGCGGTGGGCGATTCGCCCCCGTGAGCTACATAATCGCCCCCGTCAGGTTGCTCACGGGGGCGATTGCAAAATTTAAAAATCGCCCCCGTGGATTATAAAATTATAAAAAAATTATAAAATAAAGATTAACTTTTCTGTAATAACTTTAACACAATATTGAGTTTCAATTTTCAAACCTGAAACCAATGAAATAGAACTTAGATTAGCGTGCAAAATTACCCGTTCTATGAGTAGGCCTATTATTACCGATTCAGCTCGCAGTTGCAGTGCCGCCGTCAGCAGTGGTTATAGGCCTACTGCGCCGTTAGTAACGGTACGTGTGCACGCTGCCGCGCCATGTCTGCTGGAGCCGGAGGCGATCGCGCAAGGGCAGAAACCCCGCCCCCCCCCCCCCACTCAGTGTTATTTAGGGTACGCATATGCTTGTTCCCTCTTTTTGAAAGCACCCCCTATCTGAGGACTGCCAACATTTCCGAACCCCCCTTTCGCGGGCTTTTCGCAGGCTTTTCCTGCCTTGGAGACCCAAGGGGGGTCCAGTGTTTTGGGAACATTTTTGCGCCGACTCAGCCGACCGGTGAATATTAAAGCGGGAGGGGGGATGCTGGACAGGAGGACCACTAATCTATTTTTGGTTGCTGCTTTATATGTAGTTGATAATGCATGATTAAAATGAAGAAAGAGAGAGAGAGAGAGAGAGAGAGAGAGAGAAAGAGAACCACCATCATTTTGCGATGGTTCAGGGTTTGTGTAATGTACATTTGAAACCATTTTTTAGCGTCTCAACCCTAAAAAAATAGCGAAACTATTTTTGAGGAAAAGCATTATACTGAACTGAATAAAGAATAATAGCTTTATATTGGCTCATACTAATACTAATACGGGCTAAAGACAATGTGGTATTTGTAAAGAGGTATTCCAAAATGACATTCTGATAATCAACATTTTGTTCTGGTATCATATGTATATACGCATAAAACAACTGATCTTTATGATTTCTTAACGTGACATAGCTTCTCCTCCCCCTGCAAACAAAAAAGAAAACAGGTTATTCAATAAAAGGATCATGCGACAAATAATCATTGTGATTCAAATTGATGAAAGGATTTTTTTGAATAAGCAATGCTTTTCACCAGAATCTTCTTTGTAAAAACGACTTTTACAATCTCAGCCATGCAAATCTGCCACTGTGTCGTAAGATCACTTTCAGATTAGGAGAAGTGTATTCTTTAATGAGTATTTTACATTGAATGGAACGTCTCAACTCAGAAAGCATGGCTGAGACTTGTAAAAGTTGTTTTTACAAAGAAGATTCGGGTGAATAGCAGTGCTTATTCAAACAAATATTCGCATCAATTTGAATCACAATCATTATTTGTCGCTTAATCCCTTTTAATGACCTTGTTTTCTTTCTCGTTTGCAAGGGGAGAAGAAGATATGTCACGCTAAAGATATCATAAAGATCAGTGTTGTATGCGTATATATTATATACACAGGCCCCGCGGTTTATCAAACCGTTTATCAAAGTGGGGGGCTAAAGTATTTACGATCAGGTAGAGGGTAGCGAGCGTAAATTGGTGTGGGGGGGGGGGGGGGTCAGGGGTTTTAGGCATTTTATTACGGTCAGAGAAGCACAAATATTTTGATGCCGCATTTGTGTCACTGGCAGACCGGGGGGGGGCGTTTTTTATTTAATTTTTAAGGTAAAATTTACGTTACTATCCTATTTTTTTTACCGGTTTTGGAGGCTAGGGGGGGGGGGGGCGGTCAGAGAAGCACAAATATTTTGATGCCGCATTTGTGTCACTGGCAGACCGGGGGGGCGTTTTTTATTTAATTTTTTAAGGTAAAATTTACGTTACTATCCTATTTTTTTTTACCGGTTTTGGAGGCTGGGGGGGGGGGGGGCGGTAGAATCGGCCCGTGGATCCGCGCCTGTCCAAAATAGCACACACACAAAATCGCCTCGCCGCTACGCGGCTCAATAAAGAAAGAATGTAAAGGTTGCTCCGAATAATGAGGAGGAAATAATGTGCAGAACGGGAAAAAAATCGAAAGAATGTCATCACGTGATGAAAGTCAGTAACAGCTATGTAGCTTGTAAATTTGTAAGAGGGAAAATGCTGATTAAAGTGATAATGATGAAATAGCAAATAATAGAGGAGTTTCATAGGTACCAATTTAATGGATATTTGTACAAAAAAGAGCCCCCGTCAGTACTAAAAGAGCCCCCGTGAGAAGGCTCACAGGGGCTCTTTTTTTAGGAAGAGCCCCCGTGGACAAAAAAATTAATTTGAGCCCTGGTCGTACGGATAACTGACGGCATTCTCAAGTCATTCGTAAGAAGATGTTACGATTTTTGTGGACATTTTGTCGGGTTGCAAAAAAGAACACATTTTTAAATATTTTTTTTTTGGTCCCGAAATTTCCAAATTTGACCGATTAACACTCCGTTGCGTTGGGGGGGGGGGGGGGGTATAAGGTCACCTTTTTTAAGTCACCCATTAGCATTTTTTTTTTTTTTTTTAAGAAAAACGAAAAAACGAAGGGAGTGGTTTTCCTCCAAAACATACACACTACAAAAATGAAGAGGGGGGTTTAACCCCCCCCCCCCCCCCTGCGTACGCGCCTGTTCTCATCTATACAATGTAAAGAGCAGCCCAGATATTTATGTGATCAAGGATTTGCCTCAAAGTAATATCTAAGCAAACTATTTTCTTGTGTATGAAGAAAAACCTTGTTGGAAAGAAAGTTTATTCTAGCAAATTAGTGACTAGGAGGATCTTATAACCTCATGTATTTACTGCTATATATATATATATATATATATATATATATATATATGTTTTTTGGGGGTGCCCCCGTTACTGGAAAGCTTGCCGTATGTGACGAAAAAAATATGTATGGAGATCACACGCTCATCTGTAACACATTTAACAGGATAACACTTCGTTTAAACTTCAAACGTAGTATTAATTACAGTATAAGATGTGTGAATTTTAGGATGAGCGTTCTCCGTTTCGACGTGGATTTCCAAAGAGCCTCTCGGTGCGTTCCACCTTATAAACGTAGGAACTTTTCTGGAATGAAATCAAGACAGAAAACGAAATGGTCATGTCTAAAGAATAACAGTCACCTGAAAAAACAATTTGTTTCAAGGTAAAATGTAAACAAATTAGCCTTATAAATAATGTAAGCTTGCATTCTCTAGGTTAACCATTGGAATGAGTGAAGAAAATAAAGGACAACATAAACCATGCAAATAAGTGGAGCGAACGGAACCCAACATAGGACAGTCAGACAGCCACGGAAAACACCGAGTACAGGCAAATACTTTGAAAGCAGCTAGCTCAGTAAATATTGCGTGCACAACGTTAAATGCGAGACAGTGTGTACAAAAAGCATGGGGGAAATCTCTCGAAGTCAACCTAGTGTCGATATAATTGTTTGTATAACAGCGATTTGGTTCAATTATCTTCAAAATCCATGAAGGATTACTCGTTTCAAGATCCTTCCGAAAGGCAAACATAAAATAAATATATCCACAGCATTTTTTACAAATTACATGCCTTTTGAACACATCGCCATGCAGTGAACGATGAGGGCACGAAAATTCACCATACGCAGTTTTCCGAAGTTGTGTCTGATTGTAGGTGTTTCATAAAGCCGTTCGTAAAGTTAGTTTTCTACTACGATGGTCAAATCGTAAAGTTACGCATGACTTTACGAACGACTTATATATGAAAAGCCAAAGTAAAGTTAAGCATGACTTTACGAACGACTTACATATGAAAAGCCAAATAGGATGCTCAACCATGTTTTAACTGCATCAACTAAAGTTGAACTGTGCAGATGTAGATTAACATTCTCAGGGGCGGATCAAGCCGGCGGCAGTGGAGGGGGCCCAATTCGTGAGAAAATATTTATCGGCGAAACAGCCGGCCGATAATTCGCATAGTGGGGGAGGGGTTGGGGGGGAGGGGGGTATTGAGCAATAATTTATTTATTTTTTTGCTCCCGAAAATTGAAAATCGTGCCTGCCGATAATTCGCTCAGGCCCCCCCCCCCCCCCTAGATCCACCACTGGTGTCCAACAATTTCCAACAAAATAACTAAAATTTCTATTGTGCAAAATGTATGACTCCGGAGAGTCTTTGCATTTTAGAGTACTTAGATAATATGCTTTCCATAAGACTCTCATTACCTTAGCCTGCTTATACACTCTTTCAATTCCATGGACTTGAATTTCTCCGTGCATTAACCTGTACAACTATATTACTTTTACCTCATTTATCTCTAATCTTTTTTTTGGAGAGCACCTAAAAAGATTGTAAAATAGGTGTTTTTAGTTATATTATTATCATGAAGTTTGTATCGTTATGCACATAATCAAGAAGCTAAGGTTACCTGTTTACGATTCTATTCCATATTGTGTTT